ACTTCTGTAAGGAGGTGTAATTTGAGCGTATCAGTAATAATAAAAGTTTTTATCAATAATAATATAATAGTAAACACTTTAATTATTAATAATAATAACATTTTAATTAATAATAATATACTAATGAACATTTTTATTAATAATAATATACTAATAAATGTTTTTATTAATAATAATACAATAATACACCTTTTTATTAATAATAATAATTAATAATGATATAAAAATAAATATTTTTAGTAATAATAACATTAATATTAATTACAGATAATTATTTGTAAATTAATGGGATTCACTTTATTGAGTTACGAAATGGGATAGTAGTGGATTCCTAAAATGCAAGTAACTAATTTGAATTATAATTAAACCCGTTTTTTTTAAAAAAAAATTGAACCTATATTCTATATATACATAATAACTATTTTTAAAGATAATACAAAAAAATATTTATCTTTAAAATTAAATTTTTTTAATTTTGTCAGGTTTTTAAAAAAAATATTTGACTATTAAAAAATATTTATTGCAGGAGAAGTAAAAAGTGTCACATGTAAGCACCATATAATTTCTAGAATTTTTGTACAATTAAAATCAAAATTAATTATTTGTATTTAATTTAAATAAAAAATCTAAATTCTAAAAACAAAATAGAAATTTAAAAAGGTTTTCAAAATTAATGTTATATACTTTAAAACTGCTTTTACAAATAACGTGATAGAACTTTAAAGCATTATCTAAAAAAAATCAATTTTTTAGTGTCATTTAAGGTTTTTCACTTTTTTAAAATCCGGATAATGTTTGTAACTTCCAAACAGTTACAATTTACAATTTTTACTTTTATTTAGTGGATAATGAATAATTAATTTTGTGGGCATTACTATATTATTTACTTCTTCAAAAGTTCATTTGGAAAAGTCAAGCAACACATAAATAGTGCACGCATTGTGTCTATGCGTTGTTTCCTTCTTTGGTGGAATCTTCTGCATATTAGGGGAAATTTGAATTCAAGACAACTACTCAAAAAGGTTATACTATTCTATTACTTAAATCTTTTGAATAAATAGTTATTTATTGTAGATTTATAATTCAAATAGGTGAGTATCAATAATTTTTTTAATGCATATATCTTTAGATAAAATATGCATACTCAATATGAACTCATCAATGATAAGCAATGAAGAGTTAGAGTTATATAACGATGAAATGTACCACATTACAAATATTTACTTCTCTTATTTTTTATTGAATTGATTGATTTTAAAGTTTTATGTTGGATTATATTATGAATGATTTGCTATTTTTTTTAAAGTTTGTTTCGTGAAAGTTATTCTTTTGATATGTAGGTTAGTTTATCGAGTTCCAACAATTCTTTGTTGAGTTTCAACATTTATTTTTAGATTCTTTTCTTAATTTGTTTTTTGGTGTTCAAAGTATGTTTTATGAATACTACTCTTTTAGTAATATATTGTGTGTTTAGCGTTTCAAATTGTATTAATCCTCAAAATTTTGCAAGTTATATGACACAACAATAAAAAAAAAACTCACTAAGATTTTAGAATGCTATTATTTCACATACCCATATATATTATTTTACAAAAAAGTATATAAAATTAATGCATTATATGATTATTTGTTTTAAAGATTTATGTTTAAAATATTCTTCATTAAAATAATGGAATAATTTCACAGCAAAACAATTTATTTATTTTTTATAAAAAAAAAATCAAACTTTCATATAAAATATATTAATACTTAAGATTAAAACTCATCATTGTATATTAAAATAAAAAGTGTTCATTTAATTATTTATAATTAAAAAAAAGATTATTTATACTTCATACGAACTCAATTCACAAATTTAAATCTAATATTTTAATTTATAAATGACATGATAAAAATGAAAAGCTAATTAGAGTATCTCAAAGGAAAATAAAATACATGCAAAAAGATGACAAAAATTTTATTCAAAAATATTATAATACATTTAGACAATCAAATAATTTTAAAACATTAATGTTAAGGTATAAATATAATTTGTTTAGGAAATAAAAATGTATGACGTAACACAATATTAAAATTGTGTATTAGACAAATTAAATTCAAAAATAATACTTTATTAGAAAATTACTTAAAATTAACGTGATATATTAAAAATTAGAAAATTAAATGATCTGTTTTAAAACTAAAATTTTAATAAACTTTAAACTCTTTATTTAAATAAAATATTAATATGAAATTGAGTAACTAACTAAATATTATCATATTTTCCCTCAAATTAATTTTCTAAATTACAATTAGAATTTAAACATGTAATTTTAAAACTTCCCATTATATTCCCGCTTATATCACTAGCTCTAAAAGATTATTAACCAAAAATGAATAAAATAATTAAAACTAGATTTCTTAAAAATAAAAATAAATTGAAATTTATTTGCAAACCAGAAATGTTTTCAAATTATTATTATTTAAATTTAAATTTAAATAGAATAAATTGAAAATATTATAAATTAATATTTTGCAAAATAGTGCCGCATGTCATCATCAAAATAATTATTGAATTTCACTTTGGATATTTGTAAAAAAAAATTGTAAAATATTTTGATTATATATATAAAATGCATCAACATACCATTTAATCTTATTATATCAAATATTTCTTATGGAATGTTAGAATTAATAAATTATTAACTTAACTTTTTATTCAAACGATATGGAAAGAATAAAGTACAAACACGTAATTTTTTTGAAGTATTTGATAATTGATCAAGATAAGATAATCATGAAATTAATAGTATCCTTAGAAAAAATTCATCCTAATATATTATAAAACTAAAAGCATAGATGATATAGTTACCGATATAATATTTTGATACGATAAAATAAATTGTGTACTAATAATATTAATTTAATGTCCTCAAATAAATAAGTTAATGATTTGTATTAATATATTAGTATTATAATAAATTAAATATATTATTAAGTGCATAATATAGTTTATTAGTTATTTTTAATTATAAAATTATTACATTTTAAATTATCTGCGCAACACGCGGCACGTATACTAGTATTCTCTAAAAAAAGAAATCTGCTTTTTATTTTTCTCCTTTATTGATTCCTTTTATTTTTTGTTTTTTTATTTTATTTTTAATTTTTTTTATTTTATGTTCCTTTTTTTTCTTTTTTGTTCTGATTATTTCTTACTATTTTTCTTCCTTTTTTATTCATTTTTTTCTCAAATCATGATATTTTTATCAATTCACCACAAATTAATTTCATATTTTTTGTCATTCTGTATTATTTTTTTTCATTTCATTTAATTTTGTTTATTTTTTTATTTGCTTCAATTTGTAATGAAACTATTGCAATATATTTATAAACTTTTATGATATCATTAATGTATGTTTCAATACTTTAGTGAGACCTCCATGATATTGTCATGGTATCATTGATGTGTACTTCAATCCTTCAGCGATACCTCCATAATATCATCATATATTGTCATGGTATCATTAAGGATTGTTTCATATAATTAATAGTGTGTCTTAGATCATGTATGATATCATCACTTAATGTGAATATACCGGTGTGGTAGCACTACGGTTTCCTTCCTTAATTCATGCACAATGCTACTCGTTCATTAATGATACCATAACAACATATACATATGTTTCTATGGTATCATTAAGGTTTCATTCATTCATTCATATATAACCAACTCATTCCTCAATGATATAATAATATGATATCATTGACTAATGAGTAGCCCTTCAAGGGAGGAACTCATAATTTTTCAATGGAGTACCATCACAACATATCATGTACTAACATGGTATCATTAAAGACTATTTCATATAATCTGTAATACTCTTCAGATCATATATGAGACCATCATTACATATGACTATACTATTGTGGTAGCACAAAAGTTTCCTTCATTCATTTATTTACAAAACTGCTCATTCTTTAATGATACCATAACAACATATTCATTTATTGTTATGGTATCATTAATGTTTCTTACCGTCATTCATGTACAACCTACTCATTTCTTAATGAAATCAACACATTATATATATAATGACTAATGAGCCGTTCTTCAAGAGAGAACTCATAATTTCTCAATCCTATCATCACAACATAGTATCATTCATAATAGTTTCATATAATCAGTAACACTCATGATACTATCACATTATATATTTATATTATCATGGTTCATTGAGGTTTATTTAGTCTTTCAATGAGACCTTCATGATACTATGACAATATATTAATAGACTCTAAGGGCTCGTTTGGTGTGAGGGATTAGAAATAATAGTGATGGGATAAGGAAATAGTGATGGGATAAAAAAAAATTATGTTGTTTGGTTGGCAAGTCCGGGATAACTTATCCCGGGATTAATAATTAGTACCGGGATAAGTTATCCCTCCCCATGGGTGGTATAGTAATCCCGGGATAACTTATCCCGAGATAAAATAGGTAAATGACAAATATGTCCCTTTAAATCCTTTTTATACATCATTTTTTACATTTATGTATATTTACATTTTTTTTAATACCATGTATAATAATATTTACTACTCCTTATTTTTATGATAATTATACATATTTTTCTATTAAAAAATTATACTATATAAATATAATTTTTATTTATGAATTTATTTGACTAATTCTTATGTTTATTTTATTTTGATTTCTCATAAATTTTCTTCTCTTTAATAAACTTAAGAGGGAAGTTCTATTTTTAAGCTAAATAAGAAAAAAGTTATATTTTTAAATACACATGGTACTTATCATGGGAATACATAAACAAAAATATTTAAGTTAAATAAAATAAAAGTTTTATTTTAAAAAATGAATAACTAAAGGTCACAAAGAAATATTTAAAAAGTTTAAATAAAGTGCAGGGTAATTTTGTAAACAAACAACTTGTTCTTAAAATTTATCAATATATATTATTTTGAATATAACAAACCAAACACTCAATAAGAAATAATCCCATGACAACTTATCCCATCATAACTAATCCCAACATAATTTATCCCAACATAACTTATCCCATCATAACTCATATTCAAACCAAACGACCCCTAATGGTATTATTGAGGTTTACTTTATTTCTTTGATCATACCTTCATAATAGCATCACAACATATCAATATATTATCTTGGTATCATTCATGAAAAGTTCTTTAATCCTACTATGTGACCTACATGATGCCATCACATTATAGCTGCATACATACTTTTATGATATCATTGATGTTTGGTTTGTCCTCAACGATACCAACCACAATATTATTATTTATATATATTGCCATAGTACCATAGAGGTTTGACCTTATTCTTTAATAAGAAGGAAAAAAAATAAGAAAAAAAACAAAGAAAAATACAAGGTATTGTATTATATATATATATATATATATATATATATATATATTATTACCCTTTTTAATAAGTGAACAAGGGGTGAATGAACACTGCTATCATTTGTTGTACTAAAAACATTGTGAATGGTACATTATATTGGACCATCTGTTAATACGTGTACTTTTGTAAGCAAACCACGTGTACTGAATTTCTGGTCATCTTCTCCATCCTAGTTATTAAGAAAAAGTACTCTATACTAAGTCAGCTTATTGTGCATCTTCATCTTCACGGAAGGCCTTGGCATGTCCACTGAAACTTTAGACATTATTCCCACAGCCTTCTTTCAATCGTTGATGCTTAGGGTTTTTTCTACTATTCTCATAAGTTTTGTCTCAAAAATTTCAGTGGTATCTTTGATTTTTACTTTTTGAATTTAGGTCTGATTTTTCATTCAAATTTGCTCATCTATTTGGCCTTTGTGTTGTAATTATGTTACATGCACTGAATTTAGATTTAACTTAATGTTGTTTTGCTCCTTCGTATCTTGCAGGGATGAAGCATAGGAAATTCAGATTCAAAAAATCTACTCAATTTCTCCATTTCTCATAGGGTAAGTTCGTGGTTTCCTTATCTACAATTTTGATATTGAAAACAAATTACACTCTTTAACTATGCTTCTTATTCTCGAATTCGATTGTAAGAGTCTGTTTACTTTTTCCTTAGCATAACATTATACTTGCTCATATCCGACTCTAAAAAATATTTTTTTTTCCTTTTGTGGGTCTCAAATTTCATCAGCTTCTTCATGTATCAAACATTATGGAAGTTGCTACATTTCTCTATCTTGCTGTTTATCTTAGCCTTTTGTGTTGTTGAGACTGCACTCTCATTGTTTATAATAACCAAAAAAAATTGGGTTGCTTCTGCTTCTACTGAAGTTCTGTATACATCTCAACTATTTTTCTATTTTCTCATAAATATGTGTAAGCTCACTGATGGAGCATGGTCTCTAATGGTGAACATGTTTGCTGCTCCTGTTTTCTTATTCATTGACAATTCTTAAAAAACTTCTTAAAATACTTGGCTAATAAATATTGATGCACCTAAGGTGTTCGATAGTATGACAAAGCACTAGACTATTTCAAATTTTCTTATTTTTCTCATTATGTTTACTGTAACATACTCCTCTGCCAATCAACAATCTGTAAGTTACATTACTTAGTTTTATTGGACAAGATTAGTAGACAATATGTGTGTTATTTGTGGTTATGACCAAAATATTCATTTGAGATGTGTATAATTTGTTTGAATGTGGTTCAAATTATATAGTACATGCCTTTTAATTAACGACTCTTTGTGGCCCTATCTGATTGGTACGTAGGAGGGCAAAAAGAGGCAAGAGAGGCTCACTACAACTCTCAAGAGTTTGTGTCTCAACCTCTTCCGAAATTTGTGTCTCAACCTCTTCAAGCTCCATTTATGTGAAACTGGTGAGTTTTTCCATTTTTCTATTCTTTTTCCTATTGTTTTTCTTTTTATCCCAATTTTGTGTCCACCAAAAATGTAGAATATAATGTGTGACTTTTAGAAAAAAAAAACAAATAATGACTATTACTTTTGACAAATTGAGAACTATTTACAACGGGAATGTCCACGAAAAAACGACGAGCGTTGCATACCTTGAAGGAAGGTGGCAGGTTCTATCGTTTTTGCTAAAAAGTTTGGATCCCACTGCTTGGGTTAGTTGTTGAACTTTCTTCATGACTTCCCCCTGTTTTTCTCACCTTTTCAAAGTGTGAAATTTCCTGTTGATGGATATGTGATTGTAGTTTATGGCTTGAGAGCCCTAAGACTTTTAATTCGGTTCTCTAATTTCACTAATGTAATCGTAGATAGTAATTTACAGAAATGCATATACACTTCAATCAACTTAGTCTTAATCAATTACCTGAAGAAGTTGGTAATTTGTTTTAAACATCATATAATGTTGATAATAGGGATGATCGAAACAATATATTAGGTACAATGTATTCTAACTTAAAAGGTCATAATTGCTTCACTATTACAAGGTATTCAATTGTGTTTAAGCTGAAAATACATCTATTTACTTGTAACAATGCTTCACCTTTTCTGTCTCGCTGCTTTTATAATACTCCTTTCGTTTCAATTTATTTTTCCTATTTTGACTTGACACGAAGTTCAAGAAAATATAGAAGAATTTTGAATTGCGTGGTCTTAAGGGAAAGAGACATTCTTTTTGGGACTAAAAGGAAAGTAAGACAAATAAATTGAAATGGATGGGGTAGTTCTTCTCTGTAAGTATCACTTATGTAATAATAACTGTTATGTTCAGTTTTTCGAAGGTAATGAGGCATGAAACATAAGGGAGATTTCATAAACTTACTCTAATTTAGACATGAAACGTAACTTTAGTTATTTTGAGAATCCCCAATAGGCTTAGAGATTGAATAAAAGAATTTGTAAAATGATGATGATAGTTGAGATAATATTTTTTGAATATCTGAGTGCTTTTTATGGAAGAGGAAGAAATTATTGTAATAAAATTTGACATGTTATTTCTAATCTGTAAAGAAATGATAATGCAAAAAGAGGAAAAAAAACAATTCTTTGATAAAATTGAATCTTTAAGCATATAATTCCTTGGTAACTTTTCTAACTGATCCTATTAAATCCTAAAATGTTCCAACTGTTGAAAAAATAAATAAGGGAAGAAAAGGTAAAACAAATTACTATCATTTAAGTCCTGAGCTAATGTGTAAGATCGGTGGGTGGATTTCCATGTTGTTTATCCTATGTGGTAATAGAAAGTTCTTCCCTCAAGTTTCCAGGTTAGGTTTATGTTCCCTAGAATAGAAAAACACAATTGGATATAGTTGGTGATTTTTGTATTCTATGGTGATATGAAGCTTACATTTAATTTGTCTTTTTACTCTCCTTGATTCAGTATTTTCATATCAATAAGTGCTATGATATGTTCTGCTTTTAATTCTACAAAATCATTCATCCATAATTGCATTTAATGTCATTTGAATTCCCGTGGAGTTGATGTGAAAAATGTAGCTATAACATAGAGGAAAGAACATATTGATGAAAACACCTCTGAAGTATGAGCTTAGTTTTCATAAGCATCTCCTCGATACATTTGTGTTTTCAAAGACATTTATAATTTTTGGATTCAAGTCGTCTTTGGCAATGCCAACATAAATCGCCTTGGATTTCTTAGCTTATTTGATGTCTGTATGTCTGTTTCTCCCTACCTGTTCCCAAATTAGATACCTTCCATCACATGTTTCTAACAATATGTTAGCTACAAAGTACATGTCTTTTGAATAGACAAATATTTTAGGGAAACTTACATAAATATACTGTATTAAAAAATATTTACCATTTATAGCAATAACATTTTCTTTCACTTGATCACTTTTAATACATTTATAATATAGTTTTAATACATATTACAAAGAACAATTTATTATTCACATATAATACAAATTTTATTGATGGATAATACATTTATCACACATTTTAATACACTTATAAACAATGTGTCAATTTCTCACCAAACAAGCATAATATATTTAAAAAGAAATGGTTATAATACATATATATTACATACATAATTCACTTTTAATACATATTGCAGATTTTATATTGCATACATAATTCACTTTTAATACATTTTGCAGAATTTATATTGCTTACATAATTCACTTTTAATACATATTGCAGATTTTATATTGCATACATGATTCACTTTTAATACATATTGCAGTTTTAACATAGTATTGCTATGTATTGGTAATAAATAAAAAGTATCGCTAAAATCAGTAATTATTTATTATAACGTACACATCCAAGTAATTTTTCCAATATTTTATCTAGCTTAAGTGATGGTTTAACAGCATGGTGGATTTTTTTATCAATTCATATTAAGTCTTCATTCACAGTGATGGTAAGAGGCTCCCGGTGACCAAAGCGATGGAACTCTTGGAGTAAGGGTACACCTTTGAGATTATTGTTCTTTTAGCAATATCTCAAAATCTTTACAGCTGCTCAACAATACAATACATTATAACTGGTGATGTTCAGGCTCACGAAAAGAGAGCAATTTGATTGCTACACCCTTTACTGGTAAGTTTGATACTTTTGTTGCTCTCTACGTATAGACTAGACGACTAAATTTGCTCACTGAGGATTGATTGGAAATTAATAAAGAGAAGTACGATATTTATTCCATCTCCATAACAAAAGATTCTCTTTCAACTATTTCATGGAACATAGTAATTATGAACATAGTATGAGACCTACTGATTTTATTTTTTTATTTAAAAAATGTGTGGAAAAGGATTTTCAAATATTAATTCAGCTTTGAATTTGTCATTGTGTACATGACTTAACTACTAAGAAGGAAAAGAGGATATGAAAATTTCTAACTTTCTGTTGAGTCAGGCAGTGTGCAACTGGTCAATTAAATCTTCTACTGCTTTCTGAAGAAGAAAATATTATTCAAAATAAAATTTCTGTAGCAATGAGAAGTATTGATCATGTACAGTTGATGTTGCCAATGTTCTTATTACTGTAAGTTAATAATTTTTACCTCTATAGGAGTGATGAAACAACACACTTGTGTTATATTTCAGCTTCTTCAATTCCTGTAAAAAATTACATGCAACCTATACAGTTATGCTGATTCAACTCCTTTGAAGTTATAATAAGAAACTCTGTCATGAGTATACTTTTGCAACAAACATGATTTTTTTTTGTGTGCTTATTTTGTGCTCTTTGTATAGAACATATCAATTTGTGTAGTTTATATGTTTTCGGACCAAATAGTAAAAGTTACACTTCTGAAGTTTATACGTTGTAGATTGGTGGTTGTTAATCATTATGTGTTTAGGTGCTTTGTCTGTATGGAACTGTTAGTCTCCCACTTTGACATTGTAAAATTGTACAGAGTTATGTCATGATAGAGTAAGACTAATAGTACATGAATGATTATGAGATGATGGAAGCAATGATATGTGTAATGTTTTATGATTTTGTAATTTATGTTGATTGTTTCTCTTAGCTATGCTTTTACAAGAATTTCTATGTTCTGTTATTCAGGTCACGATATATGATTTATTTATCACATTACGACGAATTGAATTTATCAACTAGGGTGGCCACCTCAATGAGTATTTTCACAAAAAAAAGGGAAATGAGATGAGAAATTCAAGAACAATAGGCATCTCCATGTTTCCATTTGAGATTGATTGCATCATCTCAATTTAGTTTCATGTTTCTTTGTTAGAGAAGAAATTATTACTAGATCAAAATCTGATTAAGATGGGCAAAAGGTGTTTGACTTTGTACTTCTGCTACAATTGTGTGTGCTGCTTTCATTTATCAGTTTCTACATTTTGTTTAAGAGATTGTAATTTTGTTTTGGATTTGTGGAATGCCTATTATTACCTATGAAGGCATTATAACTCAAGTACTTATTCAACGTACTTTTACATGTGTAGTAATTGTGGCTTTATGCATTCCTTTCAACTTTACCATGTGTTACAAAGCATCCATCATGTTAAAATGTAAAATGTTGGGCCCGTGCTGAGTTATATTATATAAGCCATTAAGAATAGGACAAACACGGCAATATGACATTGTACAAAAAGCTATCTGAATTGTACCTAAAACTTGGGTTTTTTTTAATTAGATTAGATATAATAGTATTTGCCCTTCTACAATGACCACTTGTCTACTCCAAAATGTCCTTAAACATGTGTCGATCTAACAATTTTTGGAGGGGTATATTTGTCACTTTAACCACATAAGCTCCATCTTCTCTAAAAAAAACCACAGCCGTTGTTCTCTTCTCCATCTTCATTTATTCATCGGTATGGATATGGATTTCTATGCACTTTTACTCTGTTTGTTTTAGGATTTTTTAATTTTCTTGAATTTTATAGGAACTTCAGTTTCATGGTAAGTGGTTTATTATTTTATGCATGTTATTTTTGAATCTTTGACATCAAATTTCATAACATCCAAAATTATGGTATTACTTTCACTTTGTTCATCAGCTGATTGATGTTAGATTCTATCGTTTTGTTCTTCTACTTCTTCTTTTAGTTGTTTTCGTACATGCATGTGCTCAACTGTCACTACATTATGTTGTTGTTTTATTTATTTATTATTTGAGGATTTATTTTTGGTGTACAAATCAAGTTTTCATGTCTTTTCATTGAATATATCAAAAGAAGTTTGTATTTTTAAATTATTCATATTGTGAAAAAGTAGAGAGTTTTGGTTTATTTGACAAAAGATAAATTTATGTGTTCTTGTTCGTACAAATTTATATATGTGATAAGTTTTTGTTAGAATTCTCACAAGGTACAAGTATGATCTTTCGAAAGTCATTTAAGAACTTCAACTAATTAGCGCCGTAAAATGTTAGCTTTTTCCCTGTTATTCTTCTGGATCTCTCTAAATTGTTTTGTATTTTAAGTTTCTTTTGTTTTTTTATGTGTTTCTGCTTGCTTTTCTATTATGCATATAGTTGATTGTGATATCAATTTTTCTTTGGTAACAATGGCGATTATTGATGACACAAATTTATTTTTATTAGATTTTGAATTTGACAATCGACTTCCCCATGTGTATGGTAAATACATATTGATTATAATAAATTTGCGATTACATATGAATGAAGCCGGAAGGGAAATAATAAATCGAAACAAAAGGCCTTAAGAATACGTAGATTCATCAAATGAACTTTATATAAGCCTCCTTATTATCTTTATGAGAAAACCAGATATTAAGAGTAAAAAAAAATTACCCTTTCGTCTACTTTCTCAAACGCTGGTAAGGTTTCCATAAGTATTGAACATGTTTGAGGACGAACAATGCATTAAATTGTTATAAAAGCCTTACAAAGTATGCTCTACGTTTGGCCTCTACTGAATAAGCATAGTCTCTTCCTCTTTCTACTAAACTATTGTGTAGACTTCAAAGTCCAAGTGTTGTTCATGTTTATTACACACTAATTAATGTTCTCCGAGTTCTTTTGTTTCAAAATTAAGTTATGTGTTAGTTAACTACTCTCGAGTGTGGATAAAACTGTTATTGAAACGATAGGGACAACAAAACGAAAAGTGGGATTAGAGGTACAACCAAAACGGAAGGGGAAGCAACATAAATTGGAGCACATGAAACGATAGGACAAAAGAAGGTCCTTCTATATGATTTTTTGTCAATTTGAATTTACGGATACGTCACTTAATCTATATATCAATTTAGTCCTAAATTTTTTATTTTGTTTAGAATTAACAGATACCCAATATAATGGCCACATAATTGACATGACCATTTTTAGTTCAATTTGCTTATTTCACATGATTAATGGTATTTTTATCCCGGCTGGGATTGAAATTCTGCTTTATGTCTCCCTATGGCCAGGCAAATGTCATGTGAAGTATTCATGTAACAAGTTATGCAACTAGCAGACGAAAGAAGCTAAGCTACAGGTGACCTGTTGCTCTATCTCTCTATGGTGTTTAATGTATTCTTAGATGATCATTTTGTGCCTATAGAAGAAGGAATACTTGGACCTTCACAGTCTCTCTGACTTTCCATTAACTTACAGGCTGAGTTGGATGCACTTATGTACAAAAAAAGTCTGTCTAGTTCGTGTGCGCGGTCCTGGTGGACGTTATGATATTGGCGTAGGTGGAGAAACTGAAGTAGTTAGTGCCAGAGGGTAATTTAATTGCTTACTGGCTTGATCTCTACTGAAGGATGCATTTGAAAGTTCAAAGAATTGATTTCTTGGCAGAGTTGTCCACTTTTCAGTTATATGTTTACTGTAACTAAGATGATTGCTGAAGTTTAAGAAATTCCAGTTGCTGCTGCTAGATTTTTTGAAGTATGCCATTTTCACTTTCAGGAGAGGAAGTGGGGGACATGGTTTCATTAGTGGTGCTGGAGAGACAGAATTGCAGCTTCAGTGGCAAAGGTTTGTTACTGACCCTGATGTACTATAATTTTGTTAAACGTTTTTTGTGGATAGATAAAGCTGGAAAGGTTTCAGTCTGTCAGTTGAACATGTAGAGAACTTCTTATGCTAGAGAACTCTTAAGTTATTGATTATAGGAACGAAATTGGTAAAAATCGAACGAAATAAACATTGAGGATGCATTTATCCAGCCGCCCAGCCCAATTAGCTTGCTGTTGAGGCATAATTGTTCTTATTATTTTTCTAGGGAAAGCGGGATAACAAACTTTTTCTCAAATCAACTAATAATTGATTGTGCATGTTTTTGTGTACGCAACTCTATTTTTATGAGTTCATGCATTTTTTTGGCGAAACTTTGCTTTTGGTGTTACAATGGTTCTTTCTCCTTTAGGTTGCTAATCTTTCTACCGTGTCTTTCCTTTTAAGTTCTTTCACATTGCTAAAGAGCTTTTTCCTATAAATTTCACCTTAATGTGTTTTGTTCTCCTTGACAGATTGAAATTTTCCACGTGGAGGCACAAATGATAACTTCAAATGACCTGCAAAAGTTTTGTGTGCTTGAGTGTTCAGGATGTAAGCAGAAAAAGCTTATAAAAGACAAAAAGGAGTTTGAATGCACAGCGTACCATCAACAGGCAACATTAGTGCCTCGATAATATATTTTTCCTGTATAGATTTCATTACAACAGAATATATCGCTATCATATGGCTGAAGGCACATTCACATTACACTAAACAATGTCGGTTCTAAACTATATAACTTTGTATTACTTGCGGTTAATATGTTTTGAATACTTGATTGACTTGATAGTATTACTTTCGTTTATATGTGTTGATATTTGATCACTTTATTTTACTTATTATTGAAACAAATACATTGATAGAGTAGATGAGAGTAAGCAGTAAACACCTTTTACATTTAACTGATTTGTGCGACTCCACACATTGGATGAATACTATATATCTTTCCTCACCATGATTGCAGGTATACCTTCCAAAGTGACCTGATTGATGGTAGTGGGTCGATATCAGCCTTAATTTCTGGAAATCTGGCTGAAAAAATGGTCTCCATGACAACTGAACACATATTTGACTTAACTTGTGTCGAGGTTACCCTTTATTTAAATGTGTTAGTATAATTTATATATGCTTTTAATTTACTAATACTGCACCAATAGTTAATGAGAGAAACATCAAAAGGTCAAGCGTCTAAGCACAAGTCAGATATTATTGGAATCATCTGATGCTCTACCCGAATCTTCAAGCTCTGGGTCCAAAATTGAATCATCCACACCAGCAAAAGGGCTAAAAAGATTGGTCTACTTAGGTACCTACAATTGAAGCTTAGATGAGACTTATAAATTGACACGATTGAAATATAATGCAACTTATACTCTCTTTTCATATAATTGGACTTCTCTGTATTGTCTATGATTGCATGAAGTATCTTCCTTATTTTTATTACTTTTGGTGACTGCAAAGGAATTTTTTGGGGATTATCATCTGGTACAACTATACTCAGTAAGGAGACCCATCACAGAGAACTAATAAAGATGTTATTCAGCTCTTTTTCTGCTTGCCCAGGTTGGAAGTTCGAACTGTTTAAGTTGATAAAACCAAATTCTAGCAGAACATGTTTTTCATCTTGGTATTAACAGGGTATTTGTTAGCTATTAGTGTCTGTTATTAGATATTTATCTAAAGGTAGCAAGTGCACATACTGTCGCTACGAGAACTTCTATTTAAGAGGTAGTCAACCTCACTAAAATTTATCTTGAATCTAGACTTTTGGCTTGAACTTCTGATTTTCTTACATGTAGGACAATATTTATATCTCTTTAGCTTAAGAGTTTTTGATAAAGATACTTGGTGCATGTATCAGAATGCAGTTGCTTCATATTTAATTTGTAGCATTTACATCCTTGGGGTAAAATCACTTCTAAGAGGAGTCGTCTATGTCATTAACTAAAATTTTAGGTACATTGTTATTAGGATGAATTTCCGTTTGTTATTAGGATGAATTTCCGTTTGGTACAAACTGCGGAGAAAATCATTTACACAATCAAGAGCTACTTCATTTTATATTCTTCTGTCTTAGTGACCCGGTGTAGAGTAGAATCAAAGCTTGCTGCTGCTTCAGTCATGCGCTTATCTTAATTTTCTGCATGTTTTAATAGTTGTTGGTAGTGATTCAAGTTATTTTGGCCAACAACTTGATTTCCAGATTAGTAATTTGCAGTCATGTCTTGGTGCTGAGCTTCTGATAAAAATGTGATAGTTTCTCCTACGTTTTACATCGCTTGGTTGAGTGAAACAGTAAGTCAGTTGTTTCATATGTACTCTATTTGTTCACTTCAACGTTTCTTATGTAAATTTGATCATTGTACTCTGGACAACCTGTTGATGTATTGTTTCAACTCTCTTATGCTACCTTTTGGTCTTTTGAACTTGCGTCTATGCATATGACTGTTGTGCTTTCATTTCATGTGGAGGTACCTATTATTGGCTTTACAATGAATGCAGACCAGTTAAGAGGAGTCATTCAATATTTCCTTTAGAAACAGTTCATATGTGATGGATATTTGCCCTAATCTTTTGACATTCTATTTTTTTTTTCATTCCTTTCTCCCTCTACAATGAGATATAAATGCACTTTTTCCTCGTAATCATGTTGCTTACAAAATAAAATACATCGGACATTGCTATATTCTTACAAAATGTATACATTTGTTTCAATTTCAGGTACCTCCCCATGATGCCATTTTTGGAAGTATAAATTATAGGAACCACATATTATAAGTACTAAATAACATCATATCCCTTCTAGTTTTCTATTTACCAAAAATCTCTTAAAAATGATGTTTGCGGGATACATAGTGTTGTGCACCGGATACATTAGGTTTGATACATTCCACATAGCGGGATACATAGCGTTGTGCACGGGATACATGCGGGATACATAGGTAAATAAGGGATTTTTGAATTTTTTTAAATAAGTAGGGATAGGTGGATATTAAGGTAAATAAAGAAATGTAGTTAAGTAATTTGTCCTTTTTGGAATGCAGAAGATTGGTTGCCAAGCATGGGCTTTTATTCAAATTTTGAATTTTCATAAGCTATGAGCAACAATGCGAGCAGACGATTTAACTGGACAACATACATCTGTTGTACATACGATTAATAGTATTTTATTATTAAAACATGTGTACCAACAGTATTAGACTCGATGCTCAATTGTTTTCCTTCTCATCGTAACTTACAAGTTACAACAAACTCAGCTTTAACATTTCGATATTTTCCAATATGATTTTCAATTTCATGTCTTGCTAATTTGACGGTGTTGGACCCGTGCTCGCCCATCTAGTTACTTATATAGATTTCTGCTTATTCAACCACTTTGAACTCTGCTGCCCCTCATTTCAAAACTAAATTTTCCAATTTAATCCAAACACCTCAAAAGTGCTTCAATGCTTACCCAAAAAATGGACTCTTTTGTTGCTCAATAACATAGTAGATTATAATTTCTTACTTTCAGCAGAAAGCGATTATATTTTCTTTGTCAGGTCGCATTTGGAGTCTGTGTGTTCTGTGTATCAGGAGTTAATATCTCAGATGGTCACTCAACTTTGAGTTGTTCACTTAGAAAGTCACTAAACTTTGAGTTGTTCACTTAGAAAGTCACTTAGCTTGGTTTTATAACTCAAAAGTCATTCAACTATTGGTAGTGTTTCACTTAGAAAGTCATCCAACTATTGATATTTCACTTAGAAAGTCACCTAATCAATTTAAATAATTTTTCATTAAATTTTATTTTAAACTATTTTTTAAAGAAATAATACGATGTCTATTTTAATTATCTTATTGACCCACTCCAATTATTTAATTATAGTTTTTCTGAAAAAATGTAAAACAATTAACCCAAAAAAAAAACATTTCCGTTCTAGTAATTGTATGACTGGAATTAAATATGTTAAAAAAATTATTTTTTATCTAAAAAATAGGAGGTTGAAATCGATAAGAAGTAATAAGAAAAGCACATAGTAGCAGTCTTTTACTATTTTAAAACAAAAATAGGTAAAAACAAAAACTATATTTCAACAAAATTCAATTAAATAATTAAAATAAACATCTTATTATTTTTCTTTAAAAAATAGTTTAATTATTTTTTGTATTTTTACAAAATTTAATGAAAAAATTATTTAAATTAATTGAGTGACTTTTTAAGTGAAATATCAATAGTTTGGTGACTTTTTAAGTGAAACACCAATAGTTTAGTGATTTTTGAGTTATAAAACAAAGTTGAGTGACTTTCTAAGTGAACAACTCAAAGTTGAGTGACTTTCTGAGTGAACTATTCAAAGTTGAGTGACCATCTGAGATATTAACTCTGTGTATCAGTTATGATCCCTTCCCTTTTCAGTCAAAATTATAGACGAGACAGAGGAAGAAGAAGATGGAAGTCCACGCACATAATGCATCCATATTCGTCCTAAAGAAAACAAGATTTTATGTGAATATAGTTTTTTCCCTTCTTCTCTTCTTCGCCCTTTTTCAGAAGTGAGTTTTGCTCAATCTAGCAAAAAAAATTTGCTGCTCAAATTTAGTCTCATACAAACTAAGCACATAGCTTAATCTCACTTTTACCATGTCTCTTTTTTCCATTACTTGTATGATAAACGTTCTTTTGTTATAACTACTACACATTGTAGTATTCCATCTTTGCTCCTTTACATTCATTTCATGTATCTATATTTACCACACCTCAAAATACATAGACAAATCAATTATTTCTATTGGATCCGTGCTCCACCTATCTAGTATGACTAGAAAAGGCACAAAGGAAGACGCCTGCATTCTTTTTAGCTGATGTTCAACTTCATAGGGAAAGGGGTACGTGGCATAAATTTGTTTTCATTTGCAAAAGAAGCTAAAAAAATTATTAAAATATATTTTTCACTAAATTTAAATTTTAATAAACAAGCTAGTGAATTTTAGTATTTTTCTTAATTATTTCTTATTATAGTCTAGATATATGTATATCTTTTATTAATCCTAAAGTAGTTAGGTAATATTTTAAAAGCAAAAATTATAGAAAATAAATAAATAAAAAAGATAAACTAACAAAAAAGGAGAAAAGGAAATTAAGAGAAAAATGAAAAAAATAAGAAAACAAATAATAAAAATACTGCCAAAAGAGACAGAAGAATAAAATGAAAAATGAGAAAAAGAAAAAAACAATAAAAACAAAATAGAGAAGTGCTTTTCTTAATTACTTCTAGATGTAATTAATTGTTTTTTTTTTTGTATTTTTTTAATTATTTCTTGATAAAGTCTAATTTTTTTTTTATTAGTCTAAAATTAATTAGCATATTTTTTTCTATCTTTTATTTTTATGTTTGGTAAAATAAAATAAATTTAAAAAATGATTAACGAAAAAGGAGACTAAAGGATAAACTAATTAAACCAGTTTAACATAATGAAACACACAAATCAACATCTTAGAGAGAGAAAAAGAAATGACAAAAAAAGAAGAAGCTAAATAATAAAGCAATAGTGGAGATTCATCAAAAAGGTATGCGGTAATTATATACTGACGAATGGACATTGCGGTAATTAGTTTAAGTAGGGGCTGATATGGGTAATTATTTTAAGGAAGGGTAAATCACATAAATATGCTATATTAAGAAAATATTTACTATCTATGACAATAGAATTTTTCTAACTAAATATAACAATTTTTTTGAATTAAAAAAGTTGTACAATTTATGTTCGCCTCTTTCTCTGCCTTTTTTCTCTTCCTCCTCTTTTCTTCTTTTTATTCTTCTT